TGTTCTGTAAGCAAATCTGATTCTGATCTGATATGATTCTGATACGATTCTGTTCTGTTCCGATATGATCTGAACTTCTGATTTTTGTACGAATTTGTCTGATGTGTTGGTTTTGAGATTCTGAGAATTTTGATTGGAGGTTTGTTGCTTTGCTGAGCTGTTGAGCTCACTCTTGCTTTCTGGTGGTTTCCAGGTTTTGGGAAAGGGAAGGAGGTCTTGGACTAGAGTTCAGAGTCTGATCTGTGATAGGTACTTTTGTACTTTTTGATTTTTGTACAGTCATGGCTCTTTCTGCTTTATTTTTCTGTCAGCCATGTACTGTATTTGTAGATGATTGTTTTGAGGAAAAGAAAGAAAAATATAGATGATTTGTTCTGCTGCATTTGATATTTTTAGTAGCTCTGGTCTGTTTTGTATAATATTTGGAAGATTCAGTTTAGTAAGCAAATTCCAAAGCCAGATCCTGGTTAGTTCGTTAAGCTGGTCGCGGCCCGGTGCGGGGCGGGATCCGTCTCGGGTCGGGTCGTGACATGCACATTGAGGAAAGCCTCAGCGCAATTATAAACTTTTAAGCCTCAAAGCCTACGCAATGAGAGTTGGTATTGAGGCGTACGCCTAAAGTTCGCTGAGGCATGCCTCACCTCATATTTTAGAGGCGTTCGCCTCTTAAAATTAAAAAAAAAAACCTAGCCTAATATATATCTATTTGGTTCGGTCCCCCACCCCTATGCGTCTTCGATCATTTCTGAACTGAAACTAGGTTTCTTCTCACCTTATTGTGAAATACAAGATCGGTCCATTCTGCCATGAGGACCTCCATATTCTACTTAGTAAGATTCCACAATCGGTTTGTCTGCTCGGTACCGCTTGGTATTGCTAGGTACATGCTCGATACTGCTTGGTACCACTCGGTACAACAATGCACTGTACCGCTTAGTACATGCTCGGTACCACTTAGTACATGCTCGGTACCGCTTGGTACATGCTCGGTACTGCTTAGTACATGCTCGGTACCACTCGATATCTTTTCATACAAACTACTTACTAACTTTAAAAATAAGCAAAGCTTCAAAATTACTTTTACAATAAAAATAAGCAGGTCAAACCCCATCAGGGGGCAATGCCGCCTTGGACCCCTGGCTGCCCGACATATTGTTGTATTCATCATCATTAGTAATAGTTGTTAGTGTTAGTCTACTTCTTCATGAGTGCTATTAGAAATAACATAACGATGATTCAAATGAAGAGCCCCTTAGTGATGACAATGATGATGAATTATGAGTTCTTATGTGATATGTCATTGCTATTTATTTTTGGAATTATATATTAATGAAAAGAATACTGTGATTTGGGAAAGTTAGAATTTGAGTTGAACTATATTTCATATTGTCTTATTATTGGGATATTTTGATTTCACTTTATATCTGGTGTCTTTTTTATGTTTTATATTTTTTACTCATTAGTATATAAAAATTTATCATTTTATGTTTACGCGATCTTTTGATTTTGAGGTATAAGCCTCAAAACACCTTGAGACTTATGCATCGCCTCACGAACGAAAAATGCCTCAATACCCGATTACGCAATTTTAAACTTTGGGTCTACATCTACCTTTCTTAATATAAGTCAAATCTAATACCTTAACTATTCTAACTGGGTCATCGGAAGGCCTCCGTTTAATGTGACAAAATCATCTAAGACGACTCTCTCTAATCTTATCTTCCACTGGAGCTACTCCAACCTTTTCACGTATATGCTCATTTCGTATCCTATCTCTAAAGGGTAAATTCACTCATTCACCTAAGCATCCTCATCTCTGCAACACTTAACTTAGTATCATGCTTCTCTTTTAATGGCCAACATTCGACACCATAAAGCATTGCAGGTCTCATCGCCATCTTATAGAATCTTCCCTTATGTTTGAGGGGGGACTTTTCTATCTCACAACAAGCCCGATGCATTCCTCCACTTCAACCATCCAACTTAAATTATGGTGATAATATTCCCATCTATTTCACAATCACTCTAAACAATAGATCCAAGATATCTAAAACGTGTACTCATATTAATGACTTGATCACCCAAAGTCACAATCCTCTCACTAGGTCTATTGTTACGAAAATTACACTCTATATATTCAGTTTTAGATCTACTCAAGCGAAAATCTTTAGACTCTAAAGTTGACATTTATAATTCAAGTTTACCTTCAACTCCTTCTCTAATCTTATCAATAAGAAGAATATCATTAGCAAAAAACATGCACCAAGGTACTTCCTCTTGCAAATGTCTAGTGAGAACATCCATGACTAAGAAAAAAGATATGGGCTTAAGGCTGATCCTTGATGTAATCCAACTGAAATAAGAAAATACTTGGTCAAACCACCTTGTGTTTGAACACAAGTAATTGCTCATGCATACATATCTTTAATGATTTGAATATAAGCGTTATTACCTCCTTTCTTTTCAAGAACTCTCCATAGCACTTCTCTTGTAACTTTATCATATGCTTTCTCTAAATCAATAAATATCATATGTAGATCTTCTTTATTCTCTCTATATTTCTCCATCAAACCTCTCAATAAATATATGGCTTTCATAGTAGACCTACATGGCATGAATCCAAATTGATTTTGAGAAATATTAGTATCACACCGAAACCTATGCTCCATAAATCGCTCCCATAGTTTAAAGTATGACACAACTTAATTCTTCTATAATTCTCATACTTATGTGCATCACCTTTATTCTTAAAAATAGAAATTAACACACTCATTCTCCATTCATCTACCATCTTTTTAGTCTTCAAAATAATATTAAAAAGTTTAGTAAGCCAAGAAATTCCTTCATTTCTTAAGCATTTCCATATCTCTATTGGAATATCATCAGGTCTAATAGCTTTTTCACACTTCATTTTCTTTAAAGCATCTCTAACTTCGGTTTTACTAATACGCTGATAAAAACAAAAATCTTTATTTTCATTTAGGGTGCTGAAGTCATTAAAATTAATCAAATTTTTACATTCTTCATTAAACGTTTTAGTAAAATATCTCATCCAGCTTTATTGAATATCATCTTCTAAGAAAAGTATTTTTTAATCTTCATCCTTAATATACTTCACTTGAACTAAATCCTTACTACTATTATCTTTTTGTTTGGCTAACTTATACATATATCTTTCTCAGTCTTTAGTATCTAATATATTATATAAATCATTAAAAGCTAAGCTCTTTGCATCGCAAATAGCTTTCTTAAATTCTTTACGAGCCTCTTTATAATTTTTCCAGTTATCAAAATTATTACATCTAAACTAATTTTCATAATAAATCTTATTATTTTTTATTTTTTCTTACACATTTGGATTTCAACACTAAATATTTTTACTATTAGGAGATTTTCTCTTTGAAACTCCAAGTACATCTTTTGTAATATTCTTACTATTACTAGTCATTTTTTCCCACATAACATTAACATCCTCATGCATCGACAAAATCTTAATATCTAAAATTTTACTCTAAAAAATATTTTTGTTAATATTCTTTAAATGCCCTATCTAATCCTAGAAAATCATTTTACTTTATTTTTTATTTTCTGCCCTTTATCTTAAAGTTCAAAACTAATAATCGATATTGGGTACATAAATTTTCACTTGGAATAACTTTACAATCTTTGCAATCTAAACGATCTAATTTTCTTATAAAAAATAATCAATCTGCGTTTTACTATATCCATTTTTTTAAGTGATAAGATGCTCATCTCTTTTCTTAAATAATGTATTAGCTATTAAAAAATCATAAGCTAAAGAAAAATCTAATATGGTCTTACTAACTTTATTTGTCGTTCCAAACCCAGGGCCACCATGAATGCTTTTAAAGCCATTTATCTCTCTACCAATATGTCCATTTAAATCTCCTGCAATAAAATTTTTTTCTTCAAAATGTATTTTTTAAATTAATTTTTCGAAGTCATTCCAAAATTTTAATTTTAAACCCATATCTAAACTTATTTGAGGAGCATAACCACTTATAATATTAACAATCTTAACTTCAACAACAATCTTTAAAACTATAATTTTATCTACAATTCTATTAATTTTTATAACATTATCCTTCAAACTATCTATAATCACACCTACACTATTTCTAGTACTACTCCTACCCAAATACCATAGTTTATATCATTAACTATCAATCTCTTTAGTCTTCTCTTCAACTCATTTAGTTTTCTGAATGCACAGAATATTTATCTTCTTATGAATCATAATATATATTAATTCTATTAATTTTTCTGTATGGGAGCCTATATTCCAAGTTCATATCCTAATTTTAGTTTCATGTTTCAGTTTCATTTTAGTTTCATAGACTAGCTTCTTTGCCCACATCTGTCCTTGATGTGAGAACTCTTGCCTATTTAACATTGCACCTGGGTGCCAGTGCAGCGGCCCTTGCACACTCGTCACTGTATTTAGTCCATATGATGCGTCGCTTCCAGGGGATGCCCTAGTATTGACACAACTTTTTAAAGGATTCGTCATGATTATTCGACAAGTTTTTACGTTGGTTGTCGAGTACCTAGCGCAACCCTCCACTTTTCTTATCCAGGACTTGGGACTTGGCAACAGCAGTGGTAGACACACACACACATACATGGATGAAATGTTCTTGTAAGTTTTATTATAGACAAATAAACTTCAAAGTACTTTTTAAATAACTCTTAAATAATTTTAATCCCTCTGAACGATTAATGGAAAGGACAATCCTAAAGCTAGATCCAAAAAGTTGGATGAAGGCAATGATCTTGATGGTAATGTAAGTTGATTTTACATATATTTAAAGGATATTCTTTCATTATTTATCATGGACATTGAAGGTAGTTGTTGTTGTGTTTATGCTTATGGTCTTGTAATGTTATCTTATCTTGGGCATGATATATTGATGTGTAGTATATCCTAGATATTGATTTTATCTTATTTATTCTTCTTGGCCATTATATTTGACGTGCAGGATATACCAGATGTTGAAGGAGATCGGATATTTGGTATTCGATCATTTAGTGTGCGTCTTGGTCAAAAGCCGGTTAGTATTTATAGAATTGCTTTAGTTCTTTGAATAATAGAGACAGTATTAGTGACATTTTCTTTTTCCCGAGCAGGTATTTTGGACGTGTGTGTGCCTCCTTGAGATGGCTTACGCTGTAGCCATAGTGGCTGGAGCAACTTCAACCTGCCTATGGAGCAAGTTTCCAACGGTATGGATGAAGTGTTTTCAGTATTAGTAACATTAATTATTCTAATAACTGATTAATTATATTATTTTATTAATTCAGGTGTTGGGCCATGCTGTACTTGCACTGATTCTCTGGAACAATGCTAGATCCGTCAGCTTGACAAGTAAAGCTGCTATAACATCCTTTTATATGCTTATTTGGAAGGTAATTCATATCTATGCCAATAACTGATCCTTGCCAATACATGATTGGAGTTCTCTACTATATTATTTTATTGTTTTAACGATACTCTTCTTCTTCTTTTTTTACTTATCCAAAAAAAAAATATTAGAAAGTTTTCTAATCTAATATTTGGAATGATATTCTACTTACCTCTAATGAATGTTCTTCTTTCTTCGGTACTATTTTGCAGCTATTTTATGCTGAGTACTTACTCATTCCACTCATAAGATGAAGGCTGTTGGTGTAGTCAAAGAGGTGTGATACTTTTTAAGTTTTTTAATGAGAAAATGATAAAAATGGTCAACTGACTCTTTATGAAGGATTAAAATGGTCATGAATTATATTAAAAGATCATTTTGGTCCCTCAAATTTTAAAAAAGTGGGACTATTTTGATTTCTTCTTAAGGAGTTACGCGATCAAAATGGTCTTTAATATAGTTTGAGAATGTTTTGATCATTTATAAAGGGTCAATGGACCATTTTGATCTTCATCTCTTTTTTTTTTAATGTATAATTTTTCTACTGCTTGTTTTAGTCCATGTTAATCATTTGAACCAGTGGATTCTGGTGAATCAATTGCTCAAGGCATAGTGACTATCTTGCCCTGTTTCCTAATATCCATTTTCCATTTAAAATTATTTGTAGAATGTGTATTTGGATGTAGGTTAGTTTCTCAGGAAATTATTAGGTTCGGTCACCGGACCTAAATTTGCATCCGGATTGGTACGCTTTTATTGCGCTTTTGATGTATTTTTGCAAAATGACAGCTAATACACAATTTTAATGGCAGATTAGCTGTTTTTTGTTGAATATTTGTAAAAATAAAGTAAAAGTGCAGCAAAAGCGCAACAAATATCTTACTCATTGAGTATTTACTGCTCTTTTGTTGCGCTTTTCAAATACTCAGTAAAAGGGTAGCTAATATGCAATTAAAATTATGTATTAGCTATCCTTTTGTAAAAATACATCAAAAGCGCAGTAAAAACGCATTAAAAGCGCAGGCAATCCGGATGCAAATTTAGATCCGGTGCCTGGGCCTAATAATTTTTGTAGTTTCTCTGCAAGAGGAGACTAAAAAATAGTCTTCTGGCTGGCTCAAACAATCAAGTTACCAAAGATGAGCCTGTTCAGCCCCAAGGGATTGTGGGAGATCCATATAATGCACAAAGCTAATTATTGTCTTAGGTGTTTTATTAATTACTGAAAATGCCATGTATTCTAATTTTGTCTACAATTGTGATATTGAGTAGCAAGCGCTAAGTTTTCCTCTGAATTGATTTTATTATCTTGGCTTGAATATGATCTAATTTGGGCATGGATTGCTTTTCTAAATATCGGGCTAACATTGATTGTGATAAGAAGAGGGTTAAAACAAATTGTAATTGGAGTCAATCTTTGTAGCAAACAAATTTGTATATTCATATTTGTAAGAAAATAGAGTATTCATAACTTAGGGGCAAGCATAATGAGGGTCACAAGGATTGAATAATTCATTAAATTTTAAAAGAGTAAATGAAGGATTACACTCCATGTACATTTGGAGATAATGAATAAAGATATAGGCTTCGTTTAGAATGAATTTTGTACTATTTAAAGTAATTTTTTAGTACGAAATTTTTTTTATAAAAAATTGTTTTAAGAAGCATTAAAAAAGTCGCCTCAACATTTTGCAAGATGGGTTGATAAAGTCAATAAACTAAGTCCTAGATATGTTAAGCACTTTTGAGATCTTAAAGAATGGTAAAGTGCCCTTCAAGATATTTTTCATATTTTTTTTTCATTGAGGATGTATGTTTCTAATTTAACTGGTAGTATCATGTATTAAGGTTGTAGTGTAGCCTGACTTGAGATATGTAAAGAAGCCAATGAGTATGAATGCTTATGATGCTAAAGAGCTCGACACTAGAAGAATATTATACTTAAAGATTTAGCATAAGCACATAACAAAAAAGAGAAGCAACTTAGGAGAAAAAGTTAGATGTGTGAATAATTTTTCTTTTTTAGTTCAATATTATTTGAGGTAGGAATGATTGTAACATTTGATAAAAAACTTACACTAACAATAATATGTTAACATTATGATATGATCATCTGAAAAATAAGCATGAATATTGTATCATAATATTTAATTAGCATTTAAAATAGTTTATATAAATAAACAAAATGATTTATGTTAATTAACTCATTTTAGTGATGTTTCTATTTATATGGTGCTCCAAAATTTTATTTAAAAGGCTCATGACATTCAATTATAAGTTATATAATTCATCATGTTTTTATGTGTTTAAATATAAATATAATTTAATTTATAAAGTTTTTTTTTTTTAAAAGAAAAAGCTAAAGCTTAATATATTAAAATAAAAGAAGCAACTACAAGGATGATTCCTCCTTCAATTTATTAAAAATGGAAGGAGGAATCTTATTCAAAGAAAACTCATCTCAATTGAAACTACTAAATAAAGCATAGTTAGTAAACAGGTTTGTTAACTCATTGTTAACACGACCTATACAATTAAAAATGACAAAGTTGAATTTTTGTAAAAAATCCATACCCTCATCCGTTTGTGCTTTTTGAAGATAGGAAATGATATTTGAGTTGTCTCCTTCAATGATGATGCCTTTATATTTGACCATTCAATCCTTTATCTCATCTTTTAAGGAATGAATAGCTAATAGTTTCAGCTGAGCTATGTCCCAATGAGTGCACGGTCTACCATAGGTATAAAGAAATCTCCCTTTACAGTCCCGGAAAACTGCTGCTATCCCTGCTTTGTAGGAAGAAAGTAGAGATGCATCTACATTTACTTTTAGCCATTTGGGTGGGGGAGGATGCCAATTATTGAGGAGACTTGATGACTGGTTGACATCCCAAATGCCCAAATTATATTGACTAAAGCTATAAGAAACCGAAGCTTGGAATATGGCATTAGAAGCTATAAAACTTGGACTTTCCTCCACTCATTCATGTATGAACCTATTTCTGCTTTTCCAAGACAGGAACACTTTGTTGCAATACAAGTTAACCACCATTCCTTTCTTCTTCAAACTGGATTCCAGCCAATTAATGCAATGTTCAATTTTATCAAATAGTGGAATGCAAAATCCCCATTGGTTCAGATGGAATAATACCTCTTTGAGTTTCAAACATAAACACATGATATGTTCACTGTCTTCCGTGGGATTACATCCTCTTTGACAGTAAACATGATCAATTAATCTTCTATAAGATAAGAATTTAAGAGTTGGGATTGCATTTCTACAAAGTCTCCACCAAATACTTCCACCCGGACATTTAATTTAACTTTTCTGATCTAATTCCAGTATTGGATATCATTAGTCTCTATAACAAAGGCTTTATGAGCTAGATTGGTAATAGACATTCCAGAATTTTGATGAATCAACTCCATATGATCCTCTCCACCATCTTTAATAATTTTAGTTTGAATGATCAATTCAACAAGCTCCTTCCCAAATGATTCCAGCAGCATATTTTCATTCCAGTCTCCATCAATAATGAACTTGTTTAAAAAAATCGTTTCTTCTTCTTCAGGTACAATAAACGTAGGCCACCTTTGAATACTTTTATCTAATAACCAAATGTCTTTGTAAGCATCCACTTTATTTCCATTCACAAGAGACCATCTGACTATTGGTTTCAGCATTTTGTAGCCTTCGGTTAGCAATTTGTAAGATGAAGAGCACACCATTCTCCCATTTCCCTTATCCAGCTTTTCTCCATATTTAGAGGCCATAAGCTTGTTTAAAAGTGAATTTTTACCTTGATAAAATCTCCATGCTAACCGTGCTTTCAAAGCAGGTGATTTTTTGTTGTTTGAATGCATTCCACGGCCTCCTTTATCCAAAGGTTTGCACATTTCTGACCAGCAGACATAATGCAATCCTCTAACTCCATTATTTTTATTCCAGATAAAGTTTATGCTTATTTTATCAAGCTCATCCAACACTCTCTTAGGAACTAAGGAGTGAGTAGCATGAAATGTTGGTAAAGCTAGCAGAACAGATTTAACTAGGGTCATTTTACCCGACAATGACAGCATTTTCTTTCCCCATTGATTTAGCTTTATCAAGGCATTTTCAATGATAAATTGAAAATCTTCATATTTAAGTCTTCTCAAAACAATCTTCAAACCAAGGTAGTTGAACTCTCTAACAGCCTTGAATCCCATGATTTTCTTAATTCTTTTTTCTTCTTCTTTCCCACATAGTTTCCGAACATCATAGCAGATTTTTTCAAGTTGATTCGTTGGCCAGTCCATTCACAAAAGTTATGTAGTATTTTCTTCACTTCTATAACTTTCTTCCTGTTGGCTTCAGAGAACATGATAACGTCATCAGTGTACAATAAATGAGATATTCTAGGCCCATTCAAACTGATTTTGATGCCACAAGAACTTTGTTCAAAAGCATTTGAGAGAAGTTGAGAGCATAGTATAAAAAGTATAGGAGAAAAGGGACATCCTTATCTAAACCAACTTTTGGCTTGAATCCAATTAGTGTATTTTCCATTGATGATTAAAGAATATTTAGGGTCTTCTACACACTCCATGATGAGATGAGAAATTTTTTAAGGGAAGTTGAAGTATGTAAGCAGTTTCTTTAAAGATGACCAAGCCATGGAATCATAAGCTTATTCCATATCGACTTTAAAGGATACTAGACCCTTAGAGGCCTTGAAATACCTTAGTTTATGAAAAATCTCCTATGCCAACAGAACATGGTCCGACAATGACCTCCCCTTAATGAATGCAGCTTGTTCCATTGAGATTAGTTTTGGGATGACTAAAACCAATCAATTCAATATAATCCTTGCCGCTACCTTGTACACAGTGTTACATAGACTAATATGTCTATAATTAGAAGTGAGTATAGGATTTGATACCTTTGGGATAATAACTATTAGAGTCTCCTTCCATTCTTTGTTTAATTCACCATTGCTGAATGATTAAGAGCCCTCCAAAAATCAGTTTTGATGATCCCCCAATAGGTTTTAATGAAGGAGTTTGTGACTCCATCATTACCTGGAGCTATGTTACCTTCCATTTGATCTAGAGCATCTTCCACCTCTTTCCAAGTCAGATCAGCTTCAAGGAGAGTTTTTTCTCCTGTGTCTACACAGGAATTCACTGCCGGCCAGCCATTCAGTTTACAACTTCTTCCCTCCCATTTTTTCTGAAAAAACTGAAGGAAAATCTCTTCCATTTTGTCTTGTTCTTCCACTATCAGGAAAATGCCTATATTTGATTGTTTGACCAGTCAACTAGTCATGTGGTAGCTGAGGTGGCATGGGAGGGAGGTGTTGAACTGGTTGAGTGAAGACTTGAGGGCTGAAATGAGAATACATGAAGGTTTGATTAGAAATATAGATATTTTACCAAGCATATGAGTTAACTTGGTCAAATAGGCTAGGGTTTAACTCAAAAATAAGTTTAAAAATATTTCATGCATCAAATAGAATAGATTTAAAGGGAATATGAGACCATGGAATTAAGGTTTTCAATGAATACAAGGAATAGACTCAAATGGGTCAAGTTTGTCAAGTTTGACTAGATTTGGGAAAAGTTGACCATGTCAACTATTAGTTGAGTCATGGGTCCAATTAAAGCCAAATCAATAGGGA